GTTAACAAATAAAAAACCCTGTTACCAGGAATATGTTATGTACCTTGGATTTGTTAGTCAATGTGGCCCCATAGAACCCAAAATGTTACAGGCTATAGCAAATGCTCTTGGTTGTCCTCCAGAATTTGGCAGTAAGTCCCTATTGCTAAAGACACCACATATTCCAGTCACGGAACATGGAGAAAATAAGCTTGTATAGTCCAAGAAGCTCCATTCCCACTGCCTATTTTCACAGTTCTATAGTTTTGATGCATGCTTCCAGAAGAGAAAAGCAATCATCAATTTTATCCAACAGTGAATCCTGGGAGCTACAATAATGACTGGAATTACAAGATATGCCCACTGGTACAATAATGCCATGCATGTCAAAGGAGGATCCTAGCACTTTCTTCTTGAATTAAAGGTCCACTCCACTAGATGAAACTCATACCTGGTATCATTATCCTGACACCATTATCCTCGCCAAGAATCTATGGTTACATAGATCATAGGCCTTCCCTAGGGGAGAATGTACACCTATTATTCTACTGAATGGACATAACATTAAATCAACTCCCAATGGCTTATTTTTAATACCCATAAATTAAAGCATCTCTCATCCCTCATTAGAGAAGTTTCTTTTTGCAGTAGATGGCTATTACCACAGAGACTCACAACTGGCCAATGTGCTGAGAATAGGAGATTACAGCATGCTCAGACCTAAATGGGGCATGTCTATCACAGCCCTCATCCCAAAGCTCAGGAATCATCATGAAAAAATGTGACAGAAAGACTGTAAGGCACAGAGGCAGTGAATAAATGCAATGGAACAGTGTTTTCTGGATGCAACAGGGAAGCTGCACATATGAACTCACAGAAGTTATGATAGCAGCCCAAGAACTGAGGAAGCTCAAGTTGGACAAAACCCCAGCCTGGAGGAAGAAGGTAGAAGAAAGCTCTATAACCCACCACTGGACAGGATGAATACAGTTATGAGGCTTTGCTGGGGGAAAGATCCTTCACTGGAGCAAGCCACAAAGGAAACAGGGCCATTGATGTGTACAGTGGGAGGAATGTGGGCAGTACTAGGTTTGAGTGAGATAATGGAAGGAAATGATCATTCATGGAAAGGCCTCGGAGAACACTAAGTACTTTATCTGATGATTCATCTGGATTCTGAGGGATTCAGTGAAGAAGTGTGGGTATAAGATACTATTAGGAACCTGTCCAGAGAAACTTAGGAATTAGAGGTCCAACAATGAGTCCTGCCCAGGGATTGACATAACAAGAATTAAGATGGTTAGAAGCTGGAGTTGGGGCCATTCACTGCTGGAGATAATTATATATATATAACCCTCTGCTTATGGATGCAAATTTCTATTAAGGGGGGCATTATTTCCAGCAGACCGGGTTCTCTGCATGAAGGGAAAGACTGTTACAGAAGCACAGGAATGCTCTTTCTTCACTCTTGTTAGTCAGTTTTTTGTACTATTCTGTGTCATCATTTCAGCCTCTAGATGACTGTTCGGGACAAGATGGGTGTTTAAGAGGAATAGAGATAAAGGATGCTTTAAATAATACTCATCTGAGCAAATTGTGGTTTATTTGTTTTGCTTCTTGCAAATCTAAATAATTAGGTTCATAAAATAATAATCCTAATAATTGTTGACATAACTCCACAAATATCCACTCAATTTCTTTTGTTCCAGAGCATTAAAAAAATTGAAAAGTCGAACTATAAAAAAAGACATTTGTTATTCATACCTTTTTGACAAAAATTTCAAACTCTTCCCTTGGTAAATAGAAGCAAAACCAATTCAGTTTGTTTAGAGTACATTCTGGAAACAGCCATCACACACATAATTGGCCCCTGATACGTCTATCTCATTGGTAATTCACACTGTTTTAAATTTGCAGGTTTAAATATAAGCAAAAGCGAGATAACAAATGAAGCTTCACTAAAACCATCTCGGAGATCTCTGCCTTGCCTGGCCCAGAGCTACGCTCATTCAAAAAGCTTAAGCCAATCCACTTCACTCTTCCAATCAACCGAGAGCGAATCTCAGGCTCCAACTTCTGTAACCTTTGTCTCTGCTGAAAAATCTGAGCAAGGTGAGCATCAATTCCTATAATTTTTGCTAAAGTTATAAAATATAAGAGTATTTAGTAGTTTCCCCCTTCCTCTGTTGTTCCATTTTGTCAGCAGTTATTGAGTTCTCCAGAAATGAGACCAGCACCAGGGACCCATCATAGGAAAGGCTGTTGGCCAGATGTGTATTTGTTTCTGTCTTGTCTTGCAGGTGACCAATCCCATAAGAATCTACACCTTATACTGGCTGTGTTAATGGGAAGACAGACCCGGCTTATGAATCCCCAGTTCATATGGCCCCTGTTTTTATGTCTCTGTTACTGGGAAATAGCATCCCTGGTCATAATTCATAAATGCTAAGCAATAATGAATATTTTTGCTAAAATGAAACACCATCATAATAAATTTTAAGGAATCCTACAGAAAAATGAAGAAAGATATACACAGTCACAAGAACTCAGAATATATTAAATCCTGCTAGAAAATTAGACAGGTAATAATCAGGAAAAATATCAAACATTAATTTAGTAAGTCATCAAAAACCCTGGCATAGAAGGGGTATCTTGAACACGCAGGAAAAAAATCACAAAACAATCACAGCAATTAGTACATACCTTTATATTGTAACCCTATGTATGTGTGATCCTAATTTGAAATAAAATTGTAGATTCATTGAATTAAAAAAAATAATAAGATCTAGCACTTCCTGTCAGTAGGAAACTCACATCCTAGGCAGAAAAGCATGCACAGATGAGTTGAAGAATGGAAAAGTGTATTACAAATAAACCTGAAAGACAGCAGGATTGAGCCACATTCATAGCTGAAGAAACAGATTTCCCATCAAAATTAGAAGAAATTAAGGATGCCATAGCATTTATCATAGAGGATTTCTACAAAGAACGTATAATGATATTAAACATATATGAATGAAACATTGATATATTAAATTATATGTAGCAAAAACTATTGAAAATAAAAGTTAGACATGTTAATAGAAGTAGAATTCCTATCCCACAATGATAATATATAGACCATCCAAACCAAAATAAATAAATAAATAAATAAATAAATAAATAAATTGCACCATTAACTAACAACCACTTCAGAAATAAACTACAAAATAGAGCAAAGATTTTTGAGCGAGCGTTTGTGTAATAGCCCCCTCAAAAGTTGTGTAATGGATATTTTTAGTAGCAACTTGTGAAACTTTCTCAGAAATAGATCAAATTTTAGGCCATAAAACTTAACAGAGCTGGGCATGGTAATGCATAGCGCTCAGGAGGCAAAGGCAGGTATATCTCTGTGAGATCATCACCAACTTTGTCTACATAGTGAGTTTCAGGCCAGCTGGGGCTATAGGGAGACTTTGTCTTAAATGAAAATTCTTATCAAGCATTAAAAATATTCTATCTTATAAATCATAATGCAAATAAGTTATAAATCAACAACAAGAGGAGCTGAAGAATCTACACAAATGTAAAATTTGAAGACTCCTACATGATCAGTGGGGTACTGAAAAAAATTAGGGAAATTTAAAAATTAGTAGATAGAACAAAGAATCAGTGAAACAAATAATTGGTTCTTTGGAAAAAACTGAGTAGGAGTAAGAAAATCTTGGTCAAACTGATCAAAAATGGAAAAATATGAACAATAAAAATGAAAGAAAATGAAGACTATTATAATATATAACACTGAAATCTGTGGACTCATTAGGGAATATTTGGAAAACTTATAATCCAATAAATTGGAAAAGCCAGAAGACAAATATGTATATAACTTCTAGACACATTATATGACCCTGAAATTGAAAGAAGAATATATAAAATACCTAAATATATCATCAGTAAGCAGTGTGATTGAGGAAATAATAATTTTGGAGGGACAAAGACAGGACTGACTATGGAATTTTACCAAAATATTAAGGTAGAAGTAATACTAATGTTCCTCAAATAATAAACCATAAAATGTAAAGAGAAGCATTGCTGCCACACCCCTTCTAAGAAGGCAAAATCACATTATAACAAGCCCAGATAAGGCTTGCTCACTAATGGAAAACTATAGACAAATTTCCTTGAAAATGTAGGTGTAAAAATCATTCACAAAATGCCAACAATGTGTATTAAGATTATCACGCATAAAGACTGAAAGTTTATTTCATTCTAGCAAGGAAAGGATGGGTCAGCACATGCAAAATCACAAAAGTGATGAACCAGGCAAATAGAGTTAAACACATAAATCTCCCCATCATCACGATAGATGCAAAAAGGCCTGTGACAACAAGTTTAACACATCTTAATCATGATAGCCTTTGAAGAAATTAGGCTAGATGGAAAATAATGTCATATAAAATAAAGACTACATTTAACAAAGCTACTACAATGTTTTACTGAATTGGACAGAAGTGAAAGTACTTTGAAATCAGAATGAGAAAGATGTCCATTTCTGCCTACACTTAGTCAGTGTTGTGCTTCTAATCATTGGCAGAGCAACAAAAAAGAAGTAGAAAGAGCACAAATATAAAAAAGTCAAATTATCCCATTTGCTTATAAGATACATCTGAACAATATACTAGAATGTTCTTAGATCTCTTAGACAATTTCAGCAAAGTAGCACAGTGCCAAATCAACATACATGACTCGGGGTCTTTTCTATATAACAATAATAAACTCTTTGAAGAGGAAATTAGGAAAACTACCGTTTTAAAAATGCAGCAGTAGCAGAGAGGAATTTCCAAAAACCACCCCTAGCCAAGGAAGTAGTGGCAGTGGATGGCTGCTGTGGGAGGGAGAATCCCTTTCTTTAGGAATGTGGCCACTAGTAAGTTCTCATACCCAGTGGGTGACCTCAAATCCATCAGCAAATGGAGAGCATTAATTGAACTTAGAAAGTTAAACAAATAAGGAGGATACAAAGTTTGGAGGACCATATGATGGGAGGCTCTGGTGGGAATTGGGGGAGGGGTGGAATTGATCTAGGTACACTGGATGCATGTATAAAAATTCTCACAGAATTTTTTTTAAAAAAAATGAAACAGAAAATAAAAGAAATACATAGGAATAAACTTACAAACCCAGGAATAAAACTAACCAACAAGGGGCTAGAGAGTTGGCTCAGCAGTTAAGAGCACTGACTGCTATTTCAAAGGACCTTGGTTTGATTTTGAACATCCACATAGAGGGTAACAAACATCCATAACTCCAGTTCCAGGGGATTTGACACTCTCTTGTAACCTTTGTGGGCTTTGCAGGGCAAGGGTGTACTTATAGACATGAGGGAAAAACACTCATACACAAAAAATAAAAATGTAGATAAATAAAATTTAAAAATAGCAAAGATGGTGAGAGGCCTCTGTAATGACAAAATTAATACTATAAACTGAAAGGACCTTCCATGTTGATCCACTTGCAGAGTTAATGTTTTTTAATTGGTCATATTGTGGAAATTCATCCACATAGCTAATTCAATCACATAAATATAATGGTGACATTATTCACAGAACAAGATCAAAAGCTTTAAATTTTTTGTAGACACTCAAATGAGCATAAATGACACGAACAATCCTGAGTAATCTTAGAGTTAGCATACTGCCCAACTTCAGTGACCTAAAGAAGCAGGGTGTGGTGCTGCACACTTGTAATCTCAGTACTCATTATTAACTCAGAAACCCACTGTAAAATACACAGACAATATCTGAATATAGTGCTTATATACACCTGAAGGCTATAAAACAAAGTACACAGTGTCAGACAGGAGAATTCTCCCTTAGAGTTGTTGGTCAGAATGGTACAAAAGACTCCCAAAATAACAGAGGCTCTTGCCACAGTGTGTCATTACGTCCCAGAACTTGAAGGTAAGACCCTACTCCTGAAGCCAGGACATACTTCAGACACAGGACTTGGAGCAATAGAGTTGGAACTGACCTGGAACCTTCCTCCCTAAAGAGTCTCTCATAGTTCTAGAGGATACTATGAAAGCAGCTAAGGGATAAAATCAATCAATTATCCAACCCATCTTTAAAACCTAATAAACACAATAACTTGCACCGCAAACTACATCCATTGGTGCAGTAGTGGCACTGTTATCTAGGGGTAATCAACAGCAATGTAATTGGACTTGAAGCCCTCTCAATGGGCAGAAACTCATGGGTGTCACTGTAAATACAGCTAGATAAATATGGCTGGAAATCCTAGATCCTAGAGAAATTCCTTTATATGTCATATTTCTAGACAAATGAAATTTTTTACTGTATGCCAAATATGGATCTTCATATCTACAGACAAGTGTACTACAGGCCACTAAGCAAAGAAGCTTCTTTTTGCAACAGATGGAGGCTGCTACAGAGTTCCAGAACTGGTCACATGAAGAGAATATGTGCCTGAGAGATGCCCAGTCCTAAGTGACACATCTGCAGTGGGGCCTCTATAAAAAGGCAGAATAGTTCACAAACACATCTGGAAAAATTAGATATCCATGTGCAAATATTGAAAGTGTATACCCAGGTCTCACTCTCTACAAAAAGCAAATCAAAATTGATCAAAGAACTTGGAATAAAATCTGAAACTTTTTGAAACTATTAGAAAAAATTGAGAAACTTAGTAATAGGCATAGATGAAGATTTTTTTAATAAGACTCAAGCAGCTCAGAAAATTGTAAGTACCCACAACTAAAATTGCTTCAAGTTTAAAAGCTTACGCATAGCAAAGAACAACAGAGGATAAAGACAGCCCATGGAGTGGGTGACAGTCCTTGTCAGCTCTTTATCTGACTGTGGATAAATTTTCAGAATAAGAAAAAAAAATCAAAAGAATGAATAATCACAATGATCAAATTAACCGAGTGCTTTAAAAATGAAGCAGTAAAAATGTACAATACATACATATATTTAACAAATATACTCATCAGGGAAATATAATTCAAAGTTACACTGAGTTCCAGGCATGGTTGAACATGCCTGAGACCCTAACTTTGTGGAGGTGGAGGCTGCAGGATCATTAATTCAAGACCACTTGAACTATACGTAACAATCTACATCTATCTATCTCAGGCAAAAACAGCAAAATCCCTTATGTTGAGATTCTATCTCCTCCCATTCAGAATAATGATCATCAAAACAATAACAATAATAAAAGAAACTAAGTAATTTTGGAAAGGATATATGGAAAAAGTAACCCTTATATATTGTTAGGAATTCAAATTAGTATTTTCAATATGGAATTCAGTTTGTGTGATGCCAAAAGAGTCAAAGGCAGCACAGAATAGTGACATCTGCATACTCATGTTTTATCTATACACCATTTACAATAGTTGTTATGAAATCAGCCTAGGTGTCCATCAGTGCATGAATGAATAAAGAAAATATGGTGTATAACTACAATCGAATATTATCTAGCCATAAAGAGAAAGAAAAGCACTTCACCACAGGAAAATGGGTAGAATTGGAGATCCTCATGTAAAATGAAGTAAGCAAGACAAAGAGAGACAAATATAGGATGCTTGCATCTAGAAAAAAAGGTTAGGAAAGAAAAGTCAGACTATTAGTGAATAGTAAAGAAATCAGTGGGAGCAGGATGGCATAAAGATGGAAACGGAATGCTGAATGTGATCAAAGTATACTATAAGAAATTAAATTCCATTACATTACATTACATGGAAAATCACAATAAAATCAATTTTGGAGAACTGGAGAGATGACTCAGTGGTTAAGAGCACTGACTGCTCTTGCAGAAGATTCCCAATATCTACATTGGGGCTAATGACCATCTGTAACTCCAATTCCACGGTATCTGATGCCCTCTTCTCTTCTCCACAGACACTACATGACACAGTTGCACTTGCTTTCACACGGGCAATACATTCATACACATGAAAAAAAATAATAAGTAAAACAATTTTTGTTACTATATTTTAAAAAGAAGAAATTCCAAATATTTTAATCCATAATGACCATAAATCCATGAATAGTTAACTATATGAGGATAAGCTAGTGCTAACAGCAAAGTGTTGACAAAGTAACCTGAAGTTTAGGGAAATTCCAATCAGACACCATAGTGAAGAAGCCTAGGGGCCAACATAGGCACCCACCTAAGACACAGCATTATGTCTTTAGAATCCAGTTCCATGAAATCGAGAGTAACAAAAGAGCCCCACTATGCCATTCAGTAGAAAGGGTCTGTTTTCTTCCCCCATTCTTCTCTAGGTGCTCTTTTTCACAAGAAAACTAATCAGGTTATGACTCTCTCAGTTTGCTTCTTCTAGTGACTTGAGAATGCCAATTACTTTTCAATAATACAGCAAAGGGACTATATAATAATTACCATATAGTTATGGTCAATAAAATATTATTTGTTGAAGAGTGTTAAAATATTAAGGTATAATATAGGTGATTTATTATTCAAAGTTTTTTTTAAATATCATTTAAAATAAAATTTAAATTTGACACTGACTTAAATCATTTCTTCATAATGACTGTCATTCGAACATTAGGCATTGCAGTCATTTTATATGTCAGAGTTTTATTTCCACAAACTACAAAGTGTCTTTTATTTTTTTAGTTAACCCTGAGGAGAATAAAAAAGATTCTGCCCTCCAGTGTTCCTTTGCTGACCTCAGTGATTTTTGCTTAGGTGAGTTATTTCTAATATTTTCTTCCTTTTCCCTTTCTCCAAAGGTAAGTTATAGAAATCAGTTTGTGTGATGCCAAAGGAATCAAAGGCAACACAATAGGGACACCTGCATACCCATGTTTTATCTATACACCGTTTACAATAGTTGTTATGAAATCAGCCTAGGTATCTATCAGAGCATGAATGAATGAAGAAAATATGATCTATAACCACAATGGAATATTATCTAGCCATAAAGAGAAAGAAAATGAAGTCACCACAGGAAAAAGGGTAGAATTAGAGATCCTCATGTAAAGTGAAGTAAGCAGATAATAACTATATTATTTTTATACTTTGAGAACTAAAAGTTGGTGTTATTTTTATAATACTTTTTGTCTGAGTGGTCTAGAAACAGTGCTGGTTTATTAATTTCCTTGTGGTTAACTTCACATAAACCATCCAAATAACATTTCGTGAGAACAGAGTACGAAGTTCTTTGTAACTGTAATGAATTCTCAATTAGGTACGTTTGTCACAAATTCTCTGAAAAAGAAAAGACGAAATAAAGACTTTCTTTTTTCAACATATCTATACTTGTTAAAAATTTCCACAGGTTTTTCACTAAACATTCTCCTAAACAAGCATCAGTAAACAGTTTAAGAGTCACCTCAGGCACAGAATCTGTTCAATTCCATGGATCTTATTTTTGAAAATCTGGCATTCCAAATTTAAAAGTACTTTTTATACAGCAAGTATGATTGAATGATCTAATACATTATTATTTCCCTCATCATTTTGGTGTGTCTCAGTCATTTGGCCAATGATGTTTATTTGCACCCTTCCAAGTATCCTACATCATAACTTTTAATTTTTTAATTTTATATATTATTTTTATTTTATGTGTATGCATGTATTGCCTGCATGTAGGTAAGTGCACCCAGGTCATGCAATGACCCCAGAGGTCAGAAGAGGCTGTCGAATCCCTTGGACTGCAGTTATGGACAGTTGTTAGCTGCCATGTGGGTGCTGGGATTCAAACTTCGGTCTTCTGCAAGAACAACCAGAGTTCTTAACTGCTGAACCATCTCTCCAGCCCCCATACCTGTTATTTTACCATTTGTCAGTCTACTTTCATTCACATGAAAGCAGAGAATAGCTTGTACAGAAACTAAAACACATTTAAGTTGTTCTACAACACGAGCCTGTGATCTCAGCGCTTGAGATGCTAAGGCAGGAGAATTGCAAATTTTAGGCCAGCTTGAGTTCATAGCAAACATACGTTAAAAAGGAAAAACAAAATAAATAATGAATAAATTAAGATTCATTAACTCATATAAAATTTAAAAGCATGTTTAAAGTAAAAATTGTCATTATAGTGTATGTCTACACAGTGAGTTCCAGACCAGCTAGGGCTACAGGGAAACCCTGTCACACAAAAAATTATAAAGTATAAAATAAACTATTACTATTTGATTCTGTTGCCACACATATTCTTGTATTCCTAGAGTAAACTTTACCTACTATATTCAAAATAGTTGTAAGTAACTGAAACAGACTAATAGTGTACCTACATATTACTTTCCAAGTATTTCTGTACCTGCATTTCAGTATAACAAAGAAAAAGCATGAAACAGCATTACAATGACTATAACTGATACAGCAGGTGTAGTATCATTAATAAAATCACAGTCTCAGTGCTGGTTGCAAGGTTGATGCTGTGATCATAAGCAGTAGACTGCTATATTGGTCAGACTCTGGGTTTGAATCAATGGTAATTTACAAATAAAACTTCCAGGATTTATTGAATTTCCCTTGAATCAAAATAACTTTATTATATGCTATACAATTGATGATTTGAAAATATATGTATAAATTAGATTTTAAATTTTTCATTGACACAATCAGGGTAATGAAACTGTTCCCTAGCTACCTAGGTTTTAAGATGAAAGCTATGTTCTAAGAAATTTCAAATTACATGTATCTTACAAAATTTTAACTGCTAGAATTGTAGATTAACACCAAATAGAAGAAATTATATGTCTTATATGTTCAAGTCATTCTGTAAGCATTATTCTACTGAGCCCTGGTAATGAATCCTTGGGGAAAAGTTATTATCCCAAGATTTTAGATTACCAGACTCTTATTAACCCACTGTTATTCTAATAAATGAGAAAGCCTAATTTTAACTCAACGTTGTTGAAAGTAGCAGCTGGCTTTCTCATTCCATTAGCCTCCTTAATTTAATGTGCACTTCAATTTTTAAAAATTTTTTGAACTTCATTATTTCATAGATAAGTGTCATTGGATCTTTTGGCAAATAGAAAGAAACAAAAGTTTTTTGTTGCTGTTGTGGTGGGTTTTTTGTTTGTTTGTTTGTTTGTGTTTGTTGTTATGGTCAACATTACCTTAGCATCAACTCTTCCAAAAGCTACAGCGATTTGAGGTTTTGAAGGGCATTTTTTTCTTAAGTTTTCAAATTCCTAGTTTTGAAGACACTGTTATTTTTGAGACACATCATCCAATTAGTAAGAATTTTTAGAAAAAAATATAGCTAGTTTCCAGTTTGTTAAATATGTGCTTTGTGAAACTCATCTTCACTTTTGAAATACCTCAGTGTAAGGAAAGACATATTAAAAAGGAAAAAAGGTGGTACAATTTTGGTGCAATAATTCAGGATTATTATCTATAGAATATTTTTCATTTACAATTTATGCTGTGTGCACATGGAAGATGCATTACCACATGAGGCAGATTGCACACAAATAAAAAAATCTTTAGTTAGAACCAAAGCACATTAGCAAATTCCTTTTTTATTCCAAAGAGTCTATTGATATAGGAAGGATTAGATTCATGAATCAAAACTCTCTGTGGCCCAGATACTGACCTGTGGACACATCAACTTCAAAAAGCTTTGAACTTCAGCCATGTATCATATGAACTACTTCTCTCATGAATAAGAGAAAAATGTCTAGGCAGGAGAAAGGGAGTAGACTGTCACAGTAAATCCAAAAGAAAATATTTTGTTATTTTCAAACTGTATTCTCCGCCCTTACCTCTCTGTGAAATATATATATTTTATCTGTAGTTTCCTTACTATGTGGTAACACAGCAGAGCGTCTTGGTCTCTTTGTGATTTAGCACTGCTTATCGACCTTTTCATACCCTCTCGCTTCCTGGGCCTCTGGTAGCCATCAGTCTTGTCAACTTCTAGAACGTTAAAATTGCACCAATTAGGAGGAAGGTCTTTGAAAACAAGTGACTTCTTTTTCTATGCCCTTTTCTTCCTCTATTCTTTCCTCCAGTCCCTCCACTTCACCCTGTCTCTCCCTTTCTTTCTGTCATTAAAATCTTATGATATTCATAGACACCAGGCCCTTGAAAATATTAATTTTAGAATGAAATGAAGGAGCTGAAAAAATAAATGGGAAAGAAATAAAGAAAAGAAAAATATTTGGGCAAAAACAGACAAAAAGAAAAAGAGATGTGATGGAAGTCATAAGAGAAACTGATGAGTACTACCTGTGGTGGAGGAGGAGGGGAGGAATTGGAAAGATTCTGGGACTGTTTGAAATTTAACAAGTCTCCAAAGTAAGTACCTTTCCTTTTGCATGCTCATAACAAAATGTAGACACCAATGTAGGAATATTTATAGGAATTAAGGAGAAAAGAACAAAACAGTCTCTAGCCAAGCTAAAGCAAACAAATAAACTGCCTGAAAATTATGAAAGCTAGAGCATGCTTAAATCAGTGAAATTTCTCAGTCTAATTGTTTGTTGTCAATATGAAACAAAAGTCATTCATTGTTGTAGATTTAATTTTACCATCATAATAGCAATTTAGTAATTAATTAGAAAATGCTTTTAAACCTTCTTAAATCTTTCTCTTACATATGAAGAAGACAGAAAATGACAAAAGTAGGAAATAATAGAAATAGGGTAACAATGCAACTTCTACACTTAAGGCTCATGGAACATAGTGGAACAAGGGGTAGAGAGAGAGAATACTAATACATCTCTCATTTATCATCAATGAATCTCCCTCGTGCAACAGAGGGCCATGAACACAAAAGGTCACAAATGACCAAAATGTAGAGAATAAGAATCTTCAGAGTGTGGATCCTCAGACAGGATTCCTATATTAAAAGCCACTCACCCAGGGCTCAGGGACCATTGCTGAAGAGGGAGCAGAAAGATTGTAAGAGCTAGGGAGGAGGTCCATGACCATATGAAAATAGAATCCTACAGGCTCCTGGGACCTTGCATTACACAAGACCAATGCAAACTCAAGCAGAGAGAAATCCAGCACAGAACTGTGGAAATGGGCAGCAGGCCTTGATCTTAGCCAAATAACTATTGTCAGGTGATTACTGCTGGGTGAGGAACAGCTGATCTTCTTAAAGGGAGGGACTCTAGGTAGGTTGACTAGACCTAGTGGATGAACTTGCAGTGGGGGATGTCTGAGGACCCTAACTTGACTCAATAGGCCTTAACATAAATAATAGAATGTATAAATTCCAGTGGGGGAGGTGCCAATGGGGAAGTGGGTATAAAGATGATTACCATGTTATTTATGAAATACACAGAAACACAATAAAAATTTACCAAAAAAAGAAATAGAGTAACAAATGACGTATTGTAACCACTGGCTAGTGCATGGTTCCCAATGGCAGAGACCATTTGCTTCCTGCTGCTTACACACACAAGGATTCCATATTTACTGTTTCACCCAAAGAAAGAGAAGGATAGGGATTAGTAAAATATGGAGAGAAGGAAAAACAAATTAAGTGCTCATCTCTTACAACTGGAAAGTTGAAGACCATAGGGATTTGATAGCTTCTCTAATATATTAATACCAAAATTTCAGTTTCTTTTCAGTTATATAAAAGTTGGAGACAAGTCCACATATACTTTTCACTCTCTCTAGGTCGATCCTTCCAGTTTTCTTCACATTTGTACTCAAATTCAGCTACGGTCCTCTCTAAACTAACATCCTCATTTCCTTTGACATCTGCATTCTTATTCCCTATTGTTTTTTCTCTGAAGCTGTAACCATTGACATAGTTAATATTTTTCTTAAAGAATTAGATTTCTCTCTTAAATGTTTTATAAACAAAGGGGTTTATTAGATACTTAAATTTCAAGTCTGATTTATTTTACATACAGTAAGTGTTTAATAAGTAATTATGGTGTGTATAAAATGAAGTTTGCCTTAATCTGTAGGAAATACTATTTAATATTTACAAATATTATTTTAGAGTCCTATCCAGAGGTGTTTCATTTTCAATACAGCTTTTGCTAGCTTTATGACTTTATATGCTATTTAATTCCCAAGTGCCCTGGTTATTATTCCATAAAGGTAAAAGTCATACAAACTTCATATAGTCGTAATCAGTTTGAAGGAAATCATATACGCAACATTTTCTGACTGTAGGCAAATGGTAATTATCAATCACTTCCAGGTATGATAAATATATCCCATTAAATCACCAATACTTAGAGCATTTTTCCATAACTGGCTATTAATCATATCTAAAGACATGAGTTTCACAGTCTTAGTTTAAACCACTGTAAAGGTCAGAGTATTAGTATAAATCATCAGGTTTAATAATAATAAAGAAATTATTGCATGTTGTGACTAATTTTCTTTTGTACATTAAACCAACTGAAAAGACATGAAAGTCCTATTTAGACTCATTCACATCAAATTCATGTTGGATAGCTATCAACAATTTTCATAAAATAACTCTCTTCATGACATTTTAATTATTTGAAAAGGTTAATATATAATGTTTTGTCAGATTTAAAGGTGAAGAAGTATTTGTATCATGGAGGATGTGTTTCATAACGTTCATCAACAGTTCTTAGTTATGTTTACAGCCCTCGTAGTGATTTCCTGTATTATAATCATGCATTAATTAAATTTTTATCATAGACATTAGATATATGTAATTAACTGTTTTTTTCTTATAGAGTTTAAAAATATTTTATCTATTTTTATTTTATGTGTATGTGTGTACTGCCTGCACATAAGTAGCTGCACCATGTTGTGCAGCACCCGCGGAGGTCAAGAAAGAGGGTGTTGGATCCCTTGGAACTGGAGTTACAGACAATCTAGAGTTGCTCCGTGGGTGCTAGGAATCTAATCTGGGTCTTCTGCAAGAGCAGTCAGTGCTCTTAACTGCTGAGCCATTGCTCCAGCCTCAGTCTTACATAGTTTTATTATTTTAATAGTAACCGTAATTTATATTTTCCTTCCTTAGCAGCTGTAGTTTTACAATCTCCTAGTTTGTATCATCATGGTAACACTAATTAATATATCTTTTATGGTTTTCTTCTGTGGAGTTTCTTAACACTTTGGCCAAATAGAGATTTAAAAGCTTTCCAATTTTTAAGAAAACAAGCTTTATCTATTTTAACAAATCAAATAAATGGTTAAAATATATTCAATCTTTGTACATATCTTTATATACAAGTTAAAACAGAGAATGTGCTCCATATAGTTTCATGGTTGTGGGTTTATATTCAGAAAGACACATATATGTTAATTTAAGGAGCACAGATGTGTAGAGCTCATGTGAAAGTCATTCTCAATTTCCTAATTCACACAGCCCCAGACCACCTTTTATGTGATTGTTTTTGAGTTTAGTCTTTGGATAGCAGGAAAATGTCAATATTTTGTTTGACTAAAATTGAGAAAACGTAAAACATACAGAAATTAAGTGAGATATTTCTTAGGGAAAGAATAAAATGAAATTGTGTGTAACTTTCTCTTTCTCATTTTTAGCTCTAGGGAAAGATAAGGATTACATGGGTGAATCAGAACATGCTACCTATGACCGATCTCGTCTTCTTAATGACTTCGTTATCAAAGATAAGCCTGAGTCCAAGACCAAAGTTTCTAAGGTAATACAAACACAATTATTAACAGATTATTTTGCACAGTAATGTTTAAAACATTCAAATATTAGACTGCATGATTGGTTTTGTGCTGTAAATGTGAAAAAAAACCAATGTTAAAGGAGGTAAAGGACTCACACATGAAAAAGACTTTTTAAAATATGGACTGAGCTGTCATGGGACTTGTTACATGCTGTCACCATTGCTGTGAGTTCATATGTGTAAATGACCTGCTGTCTGGAAGACTCTATTTCCCTGCGGTCATCCACCACCTCTGGCTCTTACAACCTTCTGCCCGCCTCTTTCACAATGATTCCTGAGCCATGGGAGGCAGAAGTTTGAAATAAGTATCCTATTCAGGGGATTGCCGATAGTTAGCCAGGCTCAAGTGGATGGACCCACACTGAAGGACACTTGGACACAAAATTCAGACTCTATATATTGGTCAGGGGGCAGTAAGGAGAGGTATGGATAGGGAAGAAAATCTAAGCACTATTATAGTGTATTAAAATCACAACAAATCAATAAAATATTCCAATAAATAAAGAAAAACATGCTGATAAGTACAGAAAAAGATCTATTTTATTTTTTAGAAATCCATATATGAGTATTGTATTTGTATTATTTCTGTCCCTCCCAGTCCCCCCTCCAAGTCCTCCCATGTTCCCTCACTCCTCCTCAACTTCTTGTCTTCTTTTATTATCGTCGTGTATACATACATTTAGCAGTGTCCATCTAATGGTGCTTGTGTGTCCCTGTGTTTGGGGCTGCCCATTTGGGATTAGATAACAATGACGCTAATCCCTGAAGAAAATTGATACCGGCCTCAGTATTCATTCATTGCCTGCGGTTCTTCATCTTGAAGTGGGACCCTGTGATATTGTCTACATTTGCATTTCAACTAGTTTGGTCATTATGCAAATCTTATTAGACTATCATACTGTGGAGATTTCATTGATGTAGCTTCTGTATCATGTCTAGAATGCATTAAGTAGCAGTAGGTGCCATATCCCTCTGGCTCTTATATTCTTTCTGCTCCCTCTTCTGTGATGTTTCCCAAGTCTTAGGTATAGAAGTTGCATGTATCACTTAGGGCTGGACACCGCACGGCCTCGCCTCACTTATTCTATGCATTTGACCAATTGTGGAACTTCGTTTTTGCATTCATCTGTTGAGAAAGAAGCTTCTTTGATGAGACATGAGAGGTAAACTTCACTGTAAATATAAAATTACATATTTAGAACATAGTAAGAAATTACATTGGTCTTGGGAAGTGACAGAATTGGGTTTTGCCTTAAAGTCTATGAACTCTCAAGCCTTGTGTACTTTGCTATTTTTACAGTACAAGCATAATTTCCCTCCCATTAAGTGAGTTTTAAAACCAATTAGATTGCTGTTTAATAGTCCCATGATAAAAGTGCCACTACTAAACAATAGAGATAGTTTGCTGGGATATTAATTGTAGTTTATAGGCTCCATAGGAACATTGATTGGTTTCCTGCCCTGGCAGCTTGCCTAGTGTTATCTGATACTATAAGGTCCAGTCTTTTAGGAGGAGACTTCCATGTCAGTTCCAACTTAATTGCTCAAGTCCTGTAACTGAAATATGTCCTATCTTCAGCAGTAGGGCCTTACCTTCAATTCTGAGAAGCAATGAAAGGCTGTAGCAATAACCTGTGTTATTTTCTGAGTCTTTTGGACTACCCTCACCAGCAACTCAAAGGGAGGACTCTCCTGCCTGGCATTATGATTTATGTTGTGCAGCAGCATTCCAAAGAGTTATTTATGTGTGTCATATTCATTTATAGTAACAAACAATTATTTTATTATTTAAAATATCAAAGTTTTCATTTTTTAGTCTTTAATTTTTATTAACAACTAGAATTATACATATCTATGGGACACAATGTGTTATTTAAATGCTTCTATATATTGTAATAATCACAAGTGGGTAATTGAATATCACTACAACCATTTATCATTTCTTTGTGTAAAGAGAATTCAAACTCCTTTCTTATAGTTATTTTGCCATATGATACATTATTATTAACTATCATCACTCCATAATACATTAGGAAGCCAGAATGTAATACTTCTATCAAAATGTCCTTGGGCCTTTTAGCAACATACTCTGTTCTAAAGGCCCAAAATGTCAAAAGTATTTGGGAGCTCTTTTCTAATCTTTAAAATATTTTAGGGTTTCCTCTTCAGAGGGGAGGAATGTTAGAATAGCAAAAAGCCCCATAAAAATAAAATAAAAATAAATTTAAAAATTGTAACATTGAACCTTTTAATTTGAATTTTTAAACACTTTGTGAAGCTATAAAACTGATCAATGCTGACTGTAGCAACAGCTCATTGTTAAGAGAACTTGCACTTCTTCTCTTGCAGAGAACACAGGTTTGGTTTCCCGCATCCATTAAAGCTCCAGTGCTCTCTTCTGCTGTCCTCAGACACTGAGCACATGCATAGTACATACACACACATACATGCATGGTACATACACACACATACATGCAGGCAAAAGATTTGTACATTAAAAATAAAAATAAAATAAACTTTAAAAATGTTCAGTAATAATTCTTTCCGTGGAATTGATCCTTCATTTTTCATGAGTTTTCAGTGTCAACACGGCCTTAAACTATGAACATGGATTTACACTGTAAGATTAAATGAGATTTTAGTTCCAGTTACACTCAATATTGGATGTAAAAACTTGGCCACATTAGTTTCTCTCAGTGACCATTTTCCTAAAATGAAAAATGTGAATATACTGTCTGTTTGACAAAATTATTTGAAAACAAAATGGAAAGTATATGAAAGTGTATATTGCATAGTTAAGAATGACTGTACACAAGAGTTTTATAACAACTTGAAGGTTGAGAATACATAATTGAAATTATATTTCACTGACAAATGGAATACTGAAATGTAGTTTACCTTTAAAACCTCCTTAACTCACCAATCCCAACATTTCTCAAATGAAATAATTTTGCATATTCTTAAAAGCATTGGGGTGAGACCACCCAATATCAAATACCAAATTGACTCTGGTTTCTTTTATGATTGTGATAGCAACAGATTCATATTCCTTGCCTTTGATGCTAAGACAGATTTAGGTCAGAATAAGCTCAACTTTCTCCATTCTCTATTAAAGTGGGGATGTTTCTGGAAAGGGGGAGTGAAGGAAGGGAAGAATGTAGGGTGGAAAGAAGAAATGAAGGAAGGAAGAAAAGAAGAAAGGAAACATAAGGAAGGGTGATAACAAAGAAGGAAGGAATGAGCTGGAATATTTTGTTTATCCTAATAATATTTTAAGTTTTAATAGCTCATTCATGGATATTAGACACATGAATATAATTTCAGTTTGCTGTTAAATTCATTTGGTTTAGATTAATTTTCTGGTTTTAGTTGCAACTAAAGCACTTGCAAACAAATAGAGAAAGAATCAAATATCATTATGCTGTCATGGATGAGATCAAACCAGTAAATATATTCAGAGCTAATTAGTTTTGCCATTTTTTTTCTTTCATATTTGTATGGCTTTTGCTAAGAACCTTTCCTAAGTTATTTTACCAGTCTTGTCTTCTTCACTGTATATAGCTCACATACCTCCCCGAAACACTATTTCAAGTGAACTGATATGAGTTTTAAGATAAACTCAGGTATTGTGCCTTCGTGATCTTTGATTACCAGCTGGAAAAAAATTTACAACTATTCGAAAATGAACTAAGATTAAAATCTATTATTAGTTTCTCCATAATTTACCACATTACCAATAATTGACGACCATTTAAATTCGCTCACAATAACCATTTCCAAGTATCATTTTCACAAGACTTGAACTTTAGAGTGCTACGGTTAATAATAAATCTGGACTGAACATTTTATTTGGGTAGTAAAATAAGAAAATTTGGTTTTAGAAAAAAGGCACAGAAGTCCAAACCAAGAAATTTTAATTGCACGTCCTACTGAATCTACTTGGGTTCCTACCTTCTACTCCTACACATCTTCTGTGGCAGAGAAGCAGCCCAGCTGCCTGTGTAACTCACACTTCCAGTTTCCACTAAGGTATCAGCACTTTCACCCATTTCCTAAGTGAGGATACAGCAGAGATTCCGTTTACAAAGAGTTAACTTACAAAAAATGCTGGAAATCTCTCTAATTAGATGATTAGCAAAACTTAATATACCCTTGAAGGAGAGCATCATCTGCCTAGAAAATTCTTTGTGGTCATTTGTCAGAGGGACTCTCCATAAAAGCAATGGCCTAAATTTCCATTGTTGCCACTAGTATAGAAACTGTATTTTATAAATCTGTGACATTTCTTTTCTTAATACACCTAACCATAACATTGTATGAGCAAAATTAGGTATGGTATGATGACTCACATTCGTAACCTCAGCATTCAGGAGGATGAGGCAGAAACGTTGTGACACGTTTGAGCCTAAATTTCCATTGTTGCCACTAGTATAGAAACTGTATTTTATAAATCTGTGACATTTCTTTTCTTAATACACCTAACCATAACATTGTATGAGCAAAATTAGGTATGGTATGATGACTCACATTCGTAACCTCAGCATTCAGGAGGATGAGGCAGGAACGTGACACGTTTGAGGTCAGCCTATTCCACATAGCAAATAAGAGGTTTGCTAAACCTATATAACAATACCCTGTAAGAAAGAATGAAAGAACAAGAGGAAGCAAGGAAGGAAGGAAGGAGGGAGGGAGGGAGGGATGCATTTTAATTTGGATCTTGTGAAATTGCCAATATTCATTCATGACCTATAAGTAGCACTGATCAATATGTATATATTATTATATAAACATAATATAGAGAGTTTCAAATATGTGTATATATGACTACTTATATCATTATTCACTTTTGATAATTGTTCTGGTTACAATTTTCCCAATGCGTATTATGCATAACAACTTACAGAGATTAAAACCAACTGCACCATTAGCATCTGATATGATGAAATTATATTAATAAAATAATA